AGAGCAGCGTTGCTCTTGTCATATAATCATGTTAAGCCTAACACTTCTGCTACCCAGAACATTCAATATCTGCTATGCAATCTAATCAGGGACAGAACATAAGGCGAACAAGAGATCACGACGACCATGGACACAGCGGTACAACATATGCCGATATTGATAATCCAGAGCGGCGCTTACCGAAGCGCCCGCGGTTGGAGTCACAGCTTTCTGGTACGCAAAGTGCTTCACATGATGAGATGCAAATAATTATATTGACACACTCATATTGACAGGAAATCCCACATTGTTCGGCGATGGCCAGTATCTCTCGTTCTCATTTATGAAGCGCCATTTGATTGATAAAGTTCCCGAACCGTTTCGGAGTGGGATGGAGTCGAGCAAGCTGTGGAAAGAGGAGCAGGAAAGTGGCGGGCTGTTAGTCACTAACTGCTTGTCCCTATATTTGCCGGAGAAGATTAATGAGGATGCAGTCTTGCTTATTAGGATAGGGTATTATGAAGGGTTTAATATTTCTAATAACTTAGGCCTCGGTGATCCGTAAAGGTTCGTCTAGGCTCGAGATAGAACGGTTGTGAATATGAATTCCTCACCTCTGACCTAATATCAACCTTTCCTTTCAAATTTCACCCATGCTCGCATCACATAGCATCGAAAACCAGCTTCCACATCCCTAGTGGTCCGTCCATCTTGAGGACCGAGTTTGCCGTCCGGAATGAGTATACCCTCGCTATTAGCAATATTGCAAGAGCGACCTTCAAAGGTCATAGTCATGTTTTCTTGTATCTCAAAACACTTGTTTGATATTTTTTCCCACTCGCCATTAAACGCCTTTTCCCCGACCGCATTTGGCATCGCTTATTTCCGTTTGAATGTGCGAGTGGTTGTCGTCCCAAGCCCAGTATGCAGATTGCAATATCAAGGAAAATTCCGTATTGCTGCTCTTTAATGTCATGCTTCCGTGATATTATCCTTTCAATGCGGACGGGTTGAGAATCAAAATTACAGCCGATCTTGACGTGGTTGGTGCCCGATTGAACTTCGGCGGCGTGTATAAGTTCACGTGATTCCCACTCTATTCCATACCGGAAATATGTAGCTTCGGAATACTATAGTGTTACTCAGGAAGCCCCACCTATATAGTATAACTATAGCCAACGCGGATCTAGTTTGCTCGAAACCGCTGGTCCAACATACCACCACTAAGAAAAGTAAGGAAATTGCCTCTCTAGAATACGCAGAAAGCTCTAGACAACCATAGGGCATAGACTAAATTTCTTGAAGAGGTCAAATATCTTAATCTCCCGTAAGAATGTATCACTCCTAGTTTCTCGGGGTATCTTCAGAACGATCTCCTCGTCAATTTTATATACTAATCCAGTAGCTCCAAGAGATAGAAAAGGGTATTTGGCAAGCCTCGGCGGCTGTTTAATAAGACTCATTTCGGGCATGTCAAGTAGCTCGTTAATGTAAGAGGTGAAATTGTATAGCTATTTTTAACGTTGGGCAACTAACGAGCCTTAACTAGTCAAGGCAATCAAAATAAAAAGTAACTAGTTAGCTTTTCACGGCCTCTTTTTCTATCGTGATGTTGCTTTCATAGCTATCAACAACAAATGATGGGCGAGGCTATATAATAGTTAGTACCTTATTGTACCCAATACGCATGGCTATGCTTCATAATATTACCGATAATGATCAAACAACAGCCCGATGACAGCAATACATTCAGGCTCTATCTAGATATTTTAACGTATGAACATAGCATTCCTAGTTCATATGGCTCCTTACTATAAGATATCCACCCTCTGTGCAACGAGGACCTATAGCCTTTTAAGCATTTGGAAGCCTGGACTTTACTAGCTCATAAGAACAAGCTCTACTACCTCTAACCCTAAGCCTAGGTGTGCCCTCCAGTGCCCTCCAGAGTGGCTGTGGCACGGGCAAGTCGTTAAAGAAGTTGGTTCTAGAAAGGTATTGGATAGCTCAAGGAGTGCCGCATTGAACATTCAAAGGGGATTATATGAAATGTAGTATATACACAGATGGCGTTGCAGGAGAAACCAACGGCGAACGGATTTCAAACTAGGTGGAGGTAAATTGTCGTCAAGTGATATATAACCCCAGACAAGCTAGCCATGAGTGAACATAGAAAACACCGTGATATTGGATGTTGACGTGAAGATTGCATGTCAAGTGGTGGTGAAGGCGGCCTAGTCTCTTAAGTATTTACAATTGGTTGGCTATTTGGCTATCACAGCGACATAATCCATGTACGAACTTCCCTGCTACACAAGGTTATATGCCCACCGCCGGCTCTCTTCTAGCCGAGAAAGCGCTGTGAATTCATAAGCGGTAATAAATACCGGATTTCGGACTGTTGCCGTGCCGGATAATATTGGGGTATCAAACAAGGATGGCTATCCAAGACCTGGGCTGCAGCAGGGATGGCTTGTCAGTGGAACTTTGGGTAAGGTTGGGAAGAGGAAGTTGAAGAAGGCTGGTATTGATTGTTACTGCAGCTAAATCTAAAGGAGCGGAGGGTAGGTTGGCAGCTTGCTCTGAATACATGGGTAGAGAAATGGCCGTATATCGGGCTGCTAAATGGTATAGAAACGCAGATATAGGGATCAATGAGAGGGATCAAGGAGAGTCTTTATCGGCCCGCTGTGGCATATTCTGCATAGGCATACATACAATAAGTACATACATAAAGCCAGAGACTGCCGTAAGACGTCATGACGGCTAGGTACAGCGGAGAGTATGACATAGAAGGTAAATATATGGTTTGATTGACGCAGCCCCATGGGCCGATTGCAAGACTCGGCATTTGACCCCCCTACACAAGGGGGACTTCAAATGGAGGCCCTTGGACAGAATAAGAAGTAATGATAACACTTTGGAGCCACGCATGCCCGGGCAATCCACGTGAAGCCATGCGATTCTTTCAAGTCTGCAATGGTGTGACGGCGCCTGGCTTCCAGAAACGATTAGAGCCTCTCACAGCTCCACGTAATAAAAGCCGAGGTATGTATAGCCTGGTCTTATCCCTTTGTGGGCGTCTCTCAATCTCGTGTATTTTCTTCCCTCTCTCTTTTCCTGTCATTTGCTTCTTTCTCTTCGCGATATCAGTTGGCGAAGATCCGTAGTTTCATGTCCACCCCTCCAGTCGCAATAACACACCGAATCTGGACTTCTGGAGAGTCTGCTTTCTTGTTATCTCCGTTTCTTCCATCACTTGCTCCATTGCCCGCGGGTGCATCCTTAAATATTGACGGAGCCCATCTTAGGCAGGTGATGAATCGTTCGTGGGCATCCCTCATCACCTTGATGCATTTTCCTTCTTGGCTCAGATCCCAGCAGCGCAGCGTCCTATCGTCAGATACTGAGAAGAGGTATTTGCCGCCGGGATGGAAAGCCAATGCCCGTATCCAGTTGTCGTGACCGGCCAATGTCAAGAGGCAAGTCCCTCGAGCATCCCATATCTAATTTTCTTGTCTCGGGAGCCAGTGGCCATGAACTCTGCAGTGTTACTCGCAGGTGGAGGCTTTTTCAGGCCCAGTTAGAGGCGATAGATATTGGTATGAGGTAGAAGGCGCAATAGCGCAACACTCGTTGAAGTGATCATGGCCAAACATTGTTACTTTAGTTTCCGGATTTGAGACAGAAATATCCCATAATCTTGCAGTGCTGTCGTCTCCGGTTGAGAGCAAAAACCTCCCGTCCGGAGAGGGAAACACATCTCGTACCCAGGCAGTGTGGCCTTGTAAAGTTCGCAAACAATATCCGGTGTTGGCGTCCCATATCTTCAGAGACTTGTCTCTACTAGCGCTAGCCAGCAGATTGCCCGATGATGGGGCCCCCGAAGCTCCGAGGGGTATAAACCGCACGGCACTGACACTGTGATCATGGCCTACTAGGGTCCGTATGTTCTTATATTCGTTCGATGGGTCCCATAGTTTAATGCTTAGATCCGAGCTGCATGACGCCAGTAGTATACCGCCTCTCGGACCCCCAAAGTCCACGTCCACAACTGCCCGCGTGTGACCCTTGATCGTCCTCTCTAGTTCACCCAACTCCCAGTCCCATATCTTAATTGTGCAATCATCGGATGCTGAAGCAACTGAGGAGAATATAGGGTGGAACGCGACGCTGTTGATGGTATCTCGGTGCGATTCCAGAGCATGTCGGGCAGGAGCAGTTGGTATCCAGGACGCGGGGTCTTTGTTGCGTTTAGAAAGTGATGTTGGTGTCGCATTGTCAAGCTCAGCCTGCATTGCTGACATTCGAGACTCAAGATCCATAATCTATAAGATGAGTCCAAAAGTTAGACATCTCGTTCCTGAAAGTGTAAATGTTTGCGGCAAGGGAGAGAAAGCTTAGAAATGAGAAACACCTTCAACGGCGGTAGACCTACCTTTTTCTGTAACCGGACTACACTGGTCCATTTCTTCTCCAGTAATGTCTCATACTTCTTCGCTGTGGCCGGGTCAAACGCATCCTCGTTTAGATTCAACTCCGCCCTCAAGGTGTTGGCCGTGTCCAGGAGATTATTAGCCGTTAGATATGCTATTATCGACTTATGACTATGCACACGGCGGTTAGCCTTCTATCTATCCTTCGCAATGTTCCCGTGGTAGCCCATAGGCCATGGCAGGCCTACACCTACAGCTCTTCAGCTTGCCGATTGGTCAGTATCGGACTCATCTCTACCGGTCCTTATCACAGCAGCGGCTCCTCTTCACTTTTATGCGTCTTCTTTTTTGGCAAATTCCAAGGCCGGAGGCCCCTGTATTAAAGGTCACTGTAGCTTTTTTCCCTTGCGTCTCTGATAGTCGATGTGAGGACACGCCGCAAGATAGTGTGGGGTGGGAGCTCAAGTCGCAAGGGGGAAGAACACGGCAGCTTGGGCGGTCAAGGGGGCAGAAGCCGCAGCGCAGAACTATAAGCTAGAGACGAGCTGTGCCGGAGAGAGAAGAGAGCGCGGCTGACGGCGACTGGAGCGAGCTGGAGAGTCTGCGGTGGCGGCGATGGTGGTCCTGGTGCTGCGGTTGGGTTTTGGGCTGGGCTCATCGCTTCGTTGATATCAAACCAGCTTCTGGCGCAACTAAATAAACTTGCCAAAAGGGCAGGACCTAACAAAAGCGAGCCTCGGCAGAAAGATATTCCGGATGAGTAAGCATATAATGCCGGGCCTTTGCAGTGCAGGAAACAAGAGGACGGGATGGATGAGCTGAAAGAAGATGAGATGGAGAGCTACATGGGGTTGGTTTACAGGTTTATTAAGAGTTAAAGGCAAAAGCCATGAAGCTGTATTGCCAGTTTATCTAGCAGGGAAGTGCACAGGGGCAGACAGTTACCTTCCTAGATCCCAAGAGGCTGACATAGTTATTAGGTTAGTTAGTTGGAGAGACAGCCAGCTTGGACAGTCAATAATAAGGAGAATAGCTACAGGATAGCATGTCAGACATGGACCACCATGATGATGGCCTGAAAAGTAAGGCCTGAGCTATACTCGCCCCACAGGTTGGGTATATATACCAAGCTTTCTGGCAACAAAAAAAAAAAAAAATATGTCCCGGCGCTGAGGGTCATGCAGGGCAGACACAGTCGCAAGAGCCTTCGGCAGCTGCAGACGCCGTCTCGGAGTCCACCTAGGGTAAAAGATGGCCCTGAATAGTTGAAAGAAGACGGCCGGTGGTGGACTAGCGGATTCCGGGTGATTCAAAAGGTATCGCCAACAGACAAAGAGTCATCGATACTTAAGGCGAAACGCCCCGTGACTAGCAGCCAGGCATCCATGCGAGGCGTGTGCATCTCTCGAATCAATCTGTTTCCTCGTCTTCAGGATGCGAGTTTACATGAACTCCCCTATGCGAGTGGATAGACAAACGGGCCAAGGTGTCATTGCCGACGTGGCTGTGACGCATTCGATGGACGCGAATGAGTCCGTCGAAAGGATCATTGGCCATCACGCGGCAACGTGTTTCGCCCGTCGGAACTGGCAGTCGAGCAGAGGGATAATATTGAGAGTTTGTGCATATGTTGATGCCTTGTATATACCCGTGTTTGCATCATCGGTGGCTGGCCGAAAAAAAAGTACTGCCTGTCACAGCATCTATCCGTTCTCCCTCAGAGGTAGCTTCATCTCTGGGAGTGAAGTGCCCATTCAAAGAGAGACAGCTCACCATCAACTGAAGCTGGATATGATTCGAAAGGATAGCTGGCACATTGGCAGAGATCCGGGCCTTGAATCAAGCCGCTCTGTCGACTGACACGACACCCATCCAACACAACACAGAGAGGACCCCAGAAGTAGATATCATCATGGCTCCCCCGCTAGCCTCAAGGCATCGACATAGGCTCCTTCTTATCCTTCCTTCCACCTGGCTTCCTTTGTCTCTGAGTAACTCTCCGCGAAGATGCGAAATGCCTCGTCCCTTTGCTGACGTCTCGAAGCAAAAGACCGCGAAAACTTCAGCTTCCACGTGACTCCGCTGGGTCCCAAAAAGGTCAGTTTTTGCTTCTTTTCTTCGTCAACATCACCATCTTCACAGCCACGGAGAGGGGAGCCGACGCACAAAACACCAGTCTTGGGCTTCTGTGGAGGGCTCAGGCTGGCTTAGAGATGCCAGTCATGAGTCACGGATCACCGCAAAGGAGAGGATGATGCGCTCCCCTGATGGCATCTGCCTGGTCGGTATGATCACGGGTACAGCACCAGGCAGCTATATTTCATATAAAAAGGCCTCCAGCAGATCTATCTTTAGAGTCACTGCTAGCACTCCATCAAGGAAATGAAGAGACGAAACGTTCTCTCTCTTTGCAAGCGCTGACTGAATATCCCGCTTCATTAGCTGAAACCGAGCTTAGGGATCTTCTTGCACGTTCAGCCTGGCCGCATAGACGATCGTATATTTTGAGCCGCAATACGAACGAGGCGCTGAGCTGCAAGTATATAACTAACGGGTATACTCGCTTGCTCGCTTGTAACTTTGTACCTGCAACTGTTACTCCTGCGGCCACATCTATCAATCTCCCCAGCGGTCGTCAAATCATCCTATAATACTTTGTTCAAATATGCGTTGAAAGCATTTCCTTCCTCGGGAATAAATTACAATATTATGGTTGAGCGAGTCGAGTGTTATTTGCTTCCACGAAGTGAATGGAAGATCCGGACGCCCTCGGCCACGCCTCCAGTCGAAGAAACTAAGATGTCTCAAAGGGTTTCACCTGTCTCCGCAACTGCTACGTCACCACGGCCGAGATTGGCCGTCAAGCGCGCTCACGATCCTCCAAGAAACCAGGACGGAAATATCTTTTGCGACCACCCTGATTGTCATACTAATCCTCCTGTCTTTCGCCGTCCATGTGAATGGAAGTAAGTCGATCTCTCTTGTGTTCTTGTTTTTGAACATAAAGCTGATATATCCACATAGTAAACATATGGACAAGCATGATAGACCGTATAAATGCAATGATCCAGATTGTGCAAAGCTACCGGGCTTCACGTACTCCGGTGGACTGCTCCGACATCAGCGAGAAGTGCACCGGATGCACACGCAGGGGAAGAAATTGATGTGTCCTTATTCTGACTGTAACCGAAGTTCCGGCAAAGGTTTCACCAGGCAGGAGAACCTGAAGGAACATATTCGCCGTCTTCACAGGTCTGAAGACATTCCTTTCACACTCAATAATACCACTTTACCGCCCCTCTCTCGGACTTCCACCAGCACTCTCATTATTGCCGGTATATCGGCACCCGCCACTGCTCCGGCAGCAGCTAATGACCCTCGAGTCTTACCCCCCATTTCATTACCAATGCACCATCCGTCAAAACGAAAGCGGAACTCCGCTACGTCTTCCGCTTATGTATCTGAAGATGAGACGGCTCCCGAGGTACGTGCCTTACGGGATGAGGTGTCGTATCTACGCCGCGAACTGGAATACAAAGGCACACAAATAGACGAATTACAACGAGAAATGAGAGAACTACGGCGGTTACTTCAGCATCCATAATTCCCCATGAAATCAGCACTAATGTTACATTTCAAATTCTCCTGCTTTTGCATATTCCCTTTGTCCCCACTCCCTCACCCTTGCGGCTCTCTGAGCATGGTCCTGCTGCAAGGCGTTCACTGCCAAACACCCCTGGTCTGAAATAAGGGGCTTTTTCTCCTCTAATATGAGTGACTTTTATTGTTGCATAGCATGGCAAGCGTAAATTTATATAACCAAGCCCCTCTATCTTCCATCACATTGCCTACAGAGTATTAATACATTGAATACGGCCCTTTCCTGCGCTGTTCCACACTGGTGTTTGACGAGACTGTAAATATGATAGAAATAGACACCTAAATAGATCCTTCAGATGATATACATATTCCTATATAAGGTACCTGCACTCCATACGTTTCCAGTGGTTGAAGGTCATTATCGGGCGAGCCAACCGACCTGCAGGAATCCTTGTGGAATTGGGCGTGGTCTCTGTTTCACTCTCAAGTAGCCGCAAGACACGAGCTGCAGAGCCTCATCTTCCATGGCGGCTTAGCTAGCCCGATGCAGGCACCAGCCTCGTATAACTCGACTTCAGCTCCCCGCAGCGACAGGCCTATGCAGCGAATCATCTGCTGGAGCACCGCCCGAATGGCGACGCGCGAAAGACAAAACGCTGTGCGAATTATTAATCCAGCGGCCGCAGTTTTTGTTTTCCGTCCCCTCCAGTCTCCGTCGATCCATGCAGCTGAGACAGCCCAATCAGCCCAGAAATGGTTCGCTAGCACTTCCTCTTATATTTTGGGTTTGAGGCAATGCATTCTGTTCGCAGCTTGTCTTCCCCCAGCTCCCAGCCAATCATGGGTCGGAGCCCTTGCTAGCAATTAGGCAAGGCGTTCCGCTCTTTGTGCGGCTAGATAAATCTCTCGGTAAGGTATCAGCCACTCAACGATATTCACTTCTTACACACAAAGTTCGGGCAAACCCCATCTTTTGATCGAGCGGCTATGGGTCGACGGTAATAGCCATAGCCTAATTGTAGGTTAAGTTAAACTCGGACCGGTGATGCTGTGCAACGGCCAGCCACCAAGGGTCACAAAACTAGTTAGACCATCGACCAAGCTGGATGCCGTGGGTCTAACTATGAAATAACGTTGTACCTTGTATCCGAAGCAACGTCTTTGTAAGGAAGAGGGAGAGAAACCGTTGTTGATAGTTGTTGTGATGTTGTTGTTGTTGTTGTTGTGCCGTTGCTCCCCAAGGTTAAAAGGGGAACGCCCATGATTAGTCAGCATTTATTTTCCTACCAACAAATCAAGAAAACGCGTTGGACGTCAGTTATCGCTTCAGCAACAACTACAACTACAACTACAACTACAGACAGCTACAGGTACAGCTACAACTGGAAGCACATTGATAGTGGACTGGAGCCCCGTACCACGCTGATAATGAGCTGCAGTGTACTGGCCATGAGCACCGACCGCTAGCCTGGCAAGCTATTCTACCGTCAACTTCTTCGTCACTCCTCTCATCCCTGCTTTCTGGGGGCAAGCACCTTCTCCTCCATACATAAAATTATCTCCATTCCTCACTTTTCCACGCTTTTTTACTGATATAACGTTCTGCTTCTACATCCAATACCGGTTCATAGGGCCCTGAAGAGAGATATCTCTGGTTTCTTGCCGCAGTGACATGGCTTCAGTTCCGTACTATATTCCTAACCAGGAATATAGCAACGCTGGATTGAATAATATATCAGACTGCGTTCACTCGGCTATGGAAATTGCTGAGAAATGCCCGTTAGCTATACCTGTCAAGCACGACCTCCCACCAGGGGTTTACGCCTGTCCTGAGTTTATGAATATGTTCTCGGGTGTACAGATTAAACCGCCTATCCATCTCCTGGACTGGACCTATGACCGCCGCCGGACTGCACAGGATGTCCTGCCCTATCTATATCTGGGCCCAAATAATGCCATGCGGGATACAGAGTTTCTTGCAAAAAACGGCATTACTTTGCTTCTAGCTATTCGGGATCGAACTCGAATTCAGGCTGTGACGGTCAACGGAGATAGGGTAGCGGCTAGCCTAGGGATCGAGTCGGACGTTGTCGAAATAGACAGTGCACAGGAACTTATCAGTAAACTCCCCATTATCATCCGCCGAATCAACAACCATGTGTGCCCATGTCCGGCTCACCAACCGGAGGGACATGGCAGAACGAGAAAAGTGTTGGTGTTCTGTGATACAGGAAATGATAGGTCAGCCTGTGTGGTCGCCGCATATCTTATGGCGATGTTACAAACTGGAGCAGCTGTAGCGTCAAGCCACGTTCAAGTTCGACGACTGTCCACCAATATTAGCCCTGTCTTCATGGATATCCTAAAGGCCTTTGAGCCCATACTTGATGCGCAGAGGGCTATTGCTAGGAACACATTAGACAACCACGGAACTAGTGGGTTGCTTAAGCCTGGCAATGCACTCTCAAGGAAACGGTCTTTCCAGGTTGCCGAAGAGTCCCATAACGCAGACGGAGAGGCCATGACTATGGATCTCTGCCGGCCATCTCTTCCGCCCTTCCGTGATGTAAGCAACATCTAGAGAAGTAGCAACACGCGGAACGATCTTTCCATCCAGGACTTCCTACTGGCTCCTTCCTTAGCCTCCATTCGCTCTTTCTCATTGTTATTGTTTTCAAGACGTCAACAGCATTTTGCACTAGCGCAGGAAGGCCCGACCCTCAAGTGGCCAAGAATGTGTCAAGTTTGCGGAACTTGCCATTTCCACCCTTAACGATTTCATGGCTCGGCGTTCATTAGAGGCTCAAATTCTTCTCTTCCTTTCTCTTCCGCTGAATATTTGCGGGTCTACCCTCCTTTTATATTCTAGTTTCTTCTTCTTCTTTGTATGGGGTTGCAGTTAGTGACAGCCTCTTTTATTACTTCTTGTATCTATTACTATTCTTATTTTGCCCTTCAACAGTGTTATTTTACCTCTGCTGGATATACAATATCATTCACACACTCAGCTTCTGCAGCTCTATATGTGGGAATCAGTGTCATCATAATTCTCCTTGGAGAATTCTGTTCTACACGAGCTACCTTGCATGTATCTTCCCATGGCCAAATAGGATATAGATTGCTCCTATGTTTTCTATCGCCACGGCGATGAATATTCACAGTCAAAACGCTGGACCTGTCTTCACATCTTTCTTCACTGTTTACTTTTACAAGCGAGCAGCCAACTTGCTTGTCATCTTTCTCCATGCCTGATTTCTTCTTGCTTAGCCCATTAACTCTGCTATTTGCTGCCTAAGAGCCAGGAAAAAGAGCTTCGATCCTGGGTTCGGATTTGATAGGACCAAATAGTCACTGTTTATATCGCTTCGGAAACATAAACATCGTTGAGTCTGCGACGGAATTCCAACCGCTGGCAATATGCGGTTGAGGCAGAGAGACAACATCCGGCCCCCTGAACGATATGGCGGTGGGGACTGGATTGGGAACAAGGCGTCGGGTCGTCGAGGTGCGTCAAGGGCGACTTCTGAGACGCCCGACGACCTGCCTCGCCAACCACACATCCCTCTCACCGCGAGACCAACTGCAGGTCCGCCGCCGTTTATTGACTACAACCCAAACTCGCCTCCAGCCGCGTTCCCTACGCTTGACAAGCCCCGACCTAAAGAGATGCCGCCTGGAAACAATGAAACAGCCTCTTCAGGTTCTCATGAAAACGAGTGAGTGACGCCGCCGGAGGTGCAGAGAGCCTCGAGATTGTTAACACAGGGTATCAACTAATTAACCTCCTCTATGTCCTGTAGGTTTCAGAGTGAGCCATGGAGTGATATGGAGTCGAGCGAAGACGATGATAGCGGGGAAGAAGCGGATCATTCTGTCGATGTTGAAGACTACAAATATCTTCACGCGCCCACACACGTCGAATGGAAGGACCTTAATCCCGCTATCCAAATGGAAATAATCCAGAATTTGACTCAGGTCTATACTTGGCCGCGTGTGGTGTACATGTTAGAGCTCACACCGCAGCAGCAAGAGGAGGCCATCCAGAGCCCAGCCCGTCGCCAGAAGCAGGTAGAGGACGAAGCCCAGCAGTTGCATGAAATGCAAGTCAAGCAGCTGAGAGCGCTCCTTCGAATAGATAATAGTGTTCTGAGGAAGTCCAGAGTTCCTGGCCAGCTGGTCTTTCGAAATATTTCAAAGCAGTACTTCCGAGAGGCTAAAAACAGAGCAACCGTTGATCATTTCATGATCAAAGCTAGTGAGCTTCTGGCTGCTCGGAGGTTTCTGCGGAGATTGGGAATTGACACAAAGTACGCTGGAGAATGGAAAAATGACCTTGCAACCATCAACCAGGCCCATGAAGAGAATGGTGAGGACGAGTTTAAATGGATCCTTAGTACAGAGGAGACTGAACAGTCTAGCAGCACTCCTTCTATCCAGTTAGGCTCTTCCTCACCTTCACTTCAGCCGCACAATGTCGGTGCTAATAGCGCTAATGGCCAGGATCGTTGTTTCGTCAACCACGTTGGAAACCCAGAAGTGGGTACATCCAGAGCACCAGTGCGCGAGGAACTGTGTGAACCGATGCATTCGACTCCCCTGAATGCTGCTCAACAGATTCTTAGCCGCAGAAAATCTGCTAAAAAGCCGGATAGGAAAACACCCAGCCGACCTATGAACGCCAATCCAGCAAGCTCAATGGTCCAACTGAACATTGGGCCTGAGGGTGCTGCACAAATACGCAATGTCGTGCATGCCACATCTTCCTTGTCGCCACAATCATCCCAAAACCTACCATCAAGCCCTCCAATACCTTTAGCCTCCACAACCAACCACCCACCGAGTTCCTCATTGTGGATGTCTCAGACAACAGAATCAAGAAAACGCCCACATTCAGAGACGGTTATCACACCTGGTTCTTTTGTAGATGAGGACGACGATCTTCCACTGCAGAGGGTCTTAAGTGGTCCATGGTGGTATAATTCGGGACAAGTCATATCTCGGGCTGGAATCACATCATCCCAGACGCTCCATGAAAGGCTGTATGCGGTTAGAGCTGAGACCGAGATACAGCGCCAATCTTTCGCTCGCCCGATTGGTAGATTGCCCCCAGTGCCACCGGTTAATTTGCCGATCCGAAACTCAACCCCGCTGAACAACCGCCAGGCCACTCCTATGCCTTTCAGTGATGACACAATCGCTCAGACACCTCCACCGGGATATTCTTCACCAGCTCCCCAGAGAAATGTGCCACCCAGTAAGAATTTCAGAAGCCTACTCATCAACGTGCCTGGAGATAACGTACCAATTAGAGTGACCTCAGCTTCTTCAGACGCTTCCGAGCACGGACCACCGTACTCACCAATTTCACCTGTCATGGGAACATTTCCCGTTGCTCAGGTTCAGGCTGCCGGGGGTGGACAAACCCAAGAAAACAACCTTAGGAAAATTCGAACTCTCCAAGAAAGCGCCATTGAGGACGGTCAACATGGAGCGACGAGTTTTATTCTAGATGATGGGGTATCATCCAATACTGGGCCAGTAGGCACACCAGCCTCACTCCCAACTGAGGCTAAATCGTCTCGGCCAAGTTCAGTAGACTTTTCACACACAAGCATCCAAACGATGGGCGAAGCCCAACTTCCGGAGATGAAATCCCCAGAGTCAATGGAAAACACTGCTTCCAAGGCTGAAACTCCTAGCAATATTTCTATTGCCACCACATTTGCGGTCTGTTGCGATATTCCGCCCATCGAATCAGTGAAGAAGAAGGAGTGTAATTCTCATTTACCTATCCATTCACTACCGGACACAAATGGAACAAACAAAGAGAATGAATTTCCGGGTAAAAGCAAACCAGCTAAGAAAAAAGCTAAACTTGCTCCGATAAATAGACGGCGCAGCTTAAGATTGAACAAGCCTGCTACCACAAAGGAGACAAGGGCTCGAGCAGCAGCATCAGCGACGAAGAAATGACTTGGAAACTAATGAAATATGTGGGAAAAAAATGGGTGGAGGAGGTTATTAATTTGTAATTTGGGCGGGGATCATTGATCTTGTTGATTTGAATTGGTAGTGCTCACTTTGGAGGCATCATCGGATATGGGTTGGAATTGAGAACTTCGGCATTTTGATGATGATACACATCAATCTCCCCTCTAATATGTAGTATTGTGAGCTCGGTTTCTCTTTTAAGATGCTAGTTAGTCACTGATAGCAAGCAAAGGCGTGGAAGCCTGAAGGATAGTTCGTTTGGATGTCGTCCCTTTTTACTTTTATTGAACTTATTTTGCCTTTTCCAGAGCCGCATATCACGTGATATTAATGAGGCTCAACTTGTCTTCTTGGCGCTAACGTAATCACGACACGAGCGCGCCGTTTCTTATATTGGTTTTTCAACGCGTTGGAGGCCTCAGAGGCTACAGACAGGAACAGCAAGGATGCGACAAGCACCTCTAGCCTTTAGATAAATAGACGGTTACCAAGTGTTGATAGTGGTAACTATTCAACGGTCGCTCTTAAATCTTCTCACTTTTACCTTTCTTTCAAACCTCTCATTGCTCTTTGTTCCTCAGACAAAACGGCGCGGTGCAAGGTAAGACATTCGAACAAAAAGGTTCTGGACAATTAGTTGCTAATTGATTCTTATTCCTATTAAAGGGACATATATAGACCATATACTTCCATCTACACTTAATCTTCTTTTTCCGAAGCTGTCATACACCGAGTTGCCACTAGTTCGCCCAGTTATATTAGTGCGTTACAGTCATGGCTACGTTCAAGCAGGAAGAAAACAAGGAGAACATCATGGAGGTGGATATAAACAAGAAAAGCGAGGAGGAGGAAGATGATGATATGGAGGGCTTGGGTATGAAAGCCAAAGCTTTGACAAAGCTTCTCCAGACTAGTTCGGTACTTCAGCCATAATTAATCTTCGATCAAGGATACAATACTAATATTAGCGTATAGGTGTTTGTAGCCATCATGGCTGATAAGATGAAGGAGCAACAGAAAAAACAACAAGAACAAGCAAAGAGACAAGCCACCAAGGAGAAGAATCTTGCTGAGAAGCAACAAGCAACAGCTGCATCTACGAATAAACGGTCCACAAGAGCAAGTGAGAAAAAAGCTCCAGCTGATGCAAGTAAAGAAGCCCGGGATACCCAAGGGAAAAAACCTAGTTCTACGAAGCTACCCACGCGAGGATCATCTGGGAAAGCTACAAAAGCATCCAAAGGCGATATCACGAACT